GTCGAAATTAATCACAAACTACCTGTTTCGTTAGTAATGACTACTAGAACTGTTTGCATTGCCATCTAACATTTGCGGGCGGAAACTAAGTTAAGGTCCTAATACCTATCGAGAATAAATATTCACTATTTCTTAAGTGATTTTTCTCTCAATATACAAGAATATTATGAAACTTTATCAAAGGAAAAGTTGGTTAGATTCAATTTAGTAAGCAAACTGAATTTTTCTTTTAATTTAATATACTTGAAATGATAAATTTATTGGAATTCAGAATGTATTCTGAATTTTGTTGCTTGCGATCAACTTATGATAGGTACACGGATATATATAAGTTTGAAACATTCGAAACAAGTAAGATTTTAATGCAATATGTATTTTTCTGTGTGTACGACGATGAGTTTCGCAGAAAAGCGAAAATAAAATGAACTACGTATGCAAAGACTTAACATGACGTCGGGGAAATCGGCTCAAGAGCGCGGCTAATTCCGGGTAGTATTATGTGAATATTCGATTGCACATTGACGCAAGAACAATAACACAGACAACGCCTTAATCCGATTCACGCGCGCGCCCTAAGCAATGAAGCAAATTGATTCAAGTCCGGCGGTTTCTGCTGGCTTCTACAGTCGGATGAGTCGAGATCGCGGTTTGCATTGCTCCGGCGTACTGCGCGCAAGCAATTTGCGGAGAACTGTCGGCGAAACGTCGAGCAGTACGTCGGTGCTAATTGCTTCCATCACTGATCGGAACTTACGGGCGTTATGAACGTCGTAAACTTGGCGCGATTTTCGTCTCTCGCCGAGGAACATGTCGGGACGAGTTAAATTCATAGTTCGCGCGCAGGTCTTTCTTTTCGCGGTGATTCGCACGCGAAGTCGCGTTCCACCGATTTTCCGAAGTTATTATAAATGCGAGTTATTGATCTGCAGAAGTTGCAAATTTCTCAGAACATTTTTCCTCGTGAGAAACGCGAAGCGACGTGCATTATAGGAATCTAAGCAAAATCTGATTAAAAGTCAAATCTTGTATGCATTGAGAAAAAAAAAACTTGAAAACTTTGTGGGATATATAGTTTGTTTCTATAAAATAGAGTTTCACAAAAGTTATTCACAGAAATAAATTTTACAGAAATATAAACTATATTCTACAAATCAATTTTTAAGCATTTTTTTCAGTATGTATGCTGGATAATTTTTTGTGGCAAAACTGTTATTTTAACATGATTTTATCAGTAAGAAGCAAATAGGATTTTATTACATTTCTAAGCTTCCTCGAAAGATTTTTTAAATATATATTTAAAGTCTATAGTTTATTTTATAATTTTAAAAAATTTGCAAAAATTTGCGAATTTTAAGAATCGACGGTATTTCGATTAATTTTTTTTTTAATATGAAGAATATGCAAGGAAATGTTTACACAATAAAGATGTAGAATATTATGAAGAAGCTTTTGCTTTCTTTTTGTCATATATCAAATATCCTCAAAATTTCGAGTAAAAAAATTATATGTTCACTTAATGTTATAGAATTTTCACCAGAATCTGACATATAGCTATGATAAAACGATTTATTTTAATTGAAATGTAAATTTTTAAATTTGAAATGTAAATGAAATAAAATTTGAAATGTAAAGTTGTTGTAAAAAAAAACATAATTTAGAATATATGAACCAGAAATGTGTCTTAAAATCCTGTATTGTGCGAAGCCTTTGTAAATTTTCCCTTACGGTTGGTGAAATCGCCGTTTCTTTTCATGGATCCGTATCCTGACCGCGTAATTTTCTGCGCGATGCAAGGAGGTGACTTACTTTATTTTGCGCGATATGAGAATGTATGCACGTGCTCGGTGACGCCAGAGCGCGAAGATTTACATCTGGGATTGTGTTCTGATATCGCGCGCACAGCGGGCAATATAACCGAATAACGTGAGAAACGCTCGCGAATGCATTGCACACGTTTGCGTTCTCTGATATGGCGATTTTCGATATTCGCGATGTGTTTCGAATTGCCCAAACCCAGTCGCGAGTTACTGACCTGCGTAACTTGCTCGCCAAAATCCGCGACGATAAGCCGTGAGATAGTCTTCCGCTCCCTAGATTCGCTATAAATTCTTATTACTTCGCTCCTCCTTCAATTGAACGGGAGAGCCGAGTAAATGACAGAAGTAATCGCCGCATTAAATTCACTCAAATTAATTAAACTCGCGCTCTCCGCCGTTTCTTTTTATTGTTCCCTTAATTTAACGCGTAATTGAAAGTTCAAGAATGAGAATGAATGTTTGCTCCTTCTTCTATATATAAATTATCTTTTTCCTCCTCACTTTAATGTTTAATCGTTTATCCTAGAATTTGCTCAGTCATCTGCGATTGAATTTACTGTTATAGATGTTAGCATAACGGACGACATGGAGACGCTATATACCGGCGCGATTCACGGCTTTCCGCAGCCCGGCGGCGGTATAGCTAATGGCGTTTCCACGGGTATCGCCAGTTCCTTCGACCAGGACGGTGTGCTGAGTCTTATCGTCGTCCTCGGGGGAAGTCTGTCTCTGGTGGCCCTCGTGTTCGCCTTCATCACCTATAGGTGAGTCACAATTGAGACCGATTATAGCCAAGCATAAACTTATTATTCCGATATTACGGAGACAGGCAAAAAGTGAAATATACAGGCAACGAAACGAAGAAAATTTCAATACCACGGAATCCTTTTTGCCAGGTATAGCAATATCGGTATAATGCGTCAATGTTGCACGACATCAACATGAATATTCATAATCTCCGTAATATCGACGATACTACAGTGAATTTGCGCGTCCTCTCTTCACAAATTTCTCTCTCTTTCTCTCACTGGTAGATTTATTCTAGATATATAATGCCACTTGATCTCGCGTATTCCGGTTGTTTAATTATTGCTAGGACAAATTTAATGAATTCAACGCGGCTGAAATATTCTCCACGTGAACCGTGTTCCCCTCGATGCTTCGCGATTCTCGTTACCTTCCGATTAATCGTCCGTCGCTTGTTTATTTGTTACGTCGCACAATTTTATTCGCACCATGAATCCCAGTGAGGAATTTAATCCCAGTAGTTTGCAACGGGATTAAAGTAATGGTATCCTGCCTTTTTCTTCTTGCAATTTTCACGAATCTACGTGAACTGCGTTTACGAAAATTCGAGGGACTTCACAATTTAAGAATCTGCTAATGATGCGTATCTCGTGTACTTCCATGTATCTTTTTTTACTTTCCAAATTTCTTGGAGTGAGCTCTCACTAGAAACGAGTGAAAAGTGGCAGTATTTTCGCTTAAAACGACAGTGAATATTTTGCCACTCGAAATCGTGAGAGCGAATGTTTCGCTTGAGCTTAGAGTGGATTTTGATTTCATACGTGAGCGAATGTTTCGATCAATTGGTCAATCCACAAAATTATGATTTTTGAGTTTTTGTTATCAATAGGTAGCTCATATGTTTTTCTGCATAAAACAAAAAAGACTCAAGCCTTATGGGCGCCTAAATTAAATAGAAAATAGTTCTTATTTTCTACTAGTTGCGCCATCTTTTACTAGTTGCTTCCTTTTCACTTATCTTTTTAAAAGTTAAGCTTATCAATGAAAACACTCGTTCGACGATTCAGAGTGAAGAATTGACTCGGTATGAGTAAAAAATCACTCGAATTCGAGTGACTCGCTGGTCACTCTCTGCTTCTCAAGTGAACTTTCACTCCAAGACATTTAGAGAGTACTTCTTACAACTTCGCAATATCAAAGTTCTCAATTTTTCGCTGATCACGTCGCACTCGCGCTACACTAAGAAAAAAGCAGTTGAGTCACTTGGTGACTTAAAGTTGGTGATCACTTCAAATAAATATTGTATTTATTGAACAAAATACACATTAGTGCAACAGTACATTGCGCTGATATAGTTACTGACCAAATCAAGATCGTAGAATCAATTGATAATTCATCGCAACAACTTTATAATTCGTTCAGTCGACTGAACATTTGATTAAACGAATTTTGTTCGTTCAAGCAAAGTCTCATTAACTCAACCACTTTCTTTCCTTATTGTCTGTATTTCTTAAAAACGTGCGGCAGTTTATTCCGAGAATCGGTCAGTAAGTTCGACCCTTCGCAATACGCCGGTCACGTCTCCCCCTATATCCACCGATTTTGATCCGTTACTTTTTTCGACGCGTCGGCGATTTTACGCGGTTCTTGCACACCACGGGTCTAATGCCTTTACATTGCAGGCGATACCCGCCGGAATACCCGACGAGCTCGTGGCTGTATGAGTTTCTCCCTCGCGATCTCGGTCTGCGCCCTGAGCGAATTTCCGCGATTCCCCCGCGATCTAATCCTTCAATATCAGCGCTTATGGCGCACGATTTTAGAAATTTCATCCCGTCGACGGATGATGGGAAAATCGATAGTTCGCGTTCCTACCTATAACGACGTACCGACCTTCACCTTTGGATGAGAATTAAACCAGCGAAGAACTGAGAGTACTGCACGCTACGATACTCGTGAAGAGTCACAAAGAGGGTGGAAGGGAGAGAGGGGAAGATAGATAAAGAGAGAAAGAGAGAGAGAAAGTTTCATGATCGATCATGCCCTATCCCGGAAATTGCTGGGAAATGGGAAAGCGCGGCCACGAATGTTCCCTCTAGCGTTTGCACTCGCGTTCGATCGATCGCGTAGAGTCCGACCATCGGCGATCTTCGATGCGGAAAAAGAGGCCGGACAAAAGCTGCTGCCGCCGCAAATGGCATCAATAAAACGCGCGAATCTTCGACATTCTACACCATCCTCCTGCTGAATGTAAATTCCTCCTGTATCTCGTTTCCATAGAAAAAATTTCGACATGTTGGGAAAATCGGAAAAAATTTTTTGATGAAATAGCGATATCAGATATCGATATGTCCGTTGGAAAATACGTGCCTCTCTCTTGACATCTTGTCATGAGTGCTCGTTTATCATTTGGCAGCGAATGATTGAGAAAGATAACTCCTATCGTCTTTCGAGGCCGAACATGCATATCCGTCGTAAAAATTTTCGGACATTTCGTCAAATCTCGTATCGTCGTGATCAACAGGTTTCTACGCGCTTTTCCGTCGGGATCTTAAACTTATAACACGGTTTTCTCCGCGGACGAGCTTCTTCACCGAATCCAATATCTATATATTTCATAGATTCTCACATCTAGTAGGCAATCGTATCTTTTAACTTCAAAAAAATTAATCACTGCTACAACCACAGTTTTTATGGTTAGAAAGAAAACTTGTGTGGATTCTAGTTAAATAGATATTATATTAAATTGTTAATAGATTATTAATAAACAAAATTATTAATTTATCAATAAATTATTAATAAATAGGATAATAAATAGATTATATATGTAATAATATAATGCATAATATTGTTGTTATACGCCCATCTATACAGTTCTCTTACAGCCACAGTTTTTTGAGACATATATAATGTTAAATTAATATAACTTCATATATCATTGTTTTAATCGGAAGAATATTACTGTCTCTCAATTCTGTATCTATAAACTACATTGAGCAAATTTACTTGTGTGATATAAAGTTTATTTTTATGAGATAAAATTTTTATTTCTGTGAAATAGATTTTATATCTCATAAATAAATTTCCAAGTAATATTTTTCAGTATATACTGAGAAGAAAATATTTTGGAATTTATTTACGGAATTTATTTGTAGAGTTTGTACTCTCTCACAGAAATATATTTTATTTCACAGAAATAAACTTTATATTCCACAAAATAAATTTTGTTAGTATATATCTAAAAGACTCGCTGGGTTCGGTTGCATTATCAGCACTAAGAATTCCGCTCAAATACATATACAAAAATAGTAAAGTGTATTATTTTTCCAAAGTAAGTACTATACTGCGAGAAATATAATTGAAAATTTACTTATAGGATATAAAGGATTTTTATTCATAAAAATAAATTATATTTTACAAAAATAAACTTTATTTAACAGAAATGAATTATCTCATAAATAAATTCCCAAGTATTTCTTTTCATTGATATTTCTATTACTCTTCTGTATACATGAGCGAAAAACAATGTTAGTATTTTGTTTAGGCAGTCATATTTAGTCATGTGATATCTCTAGTGTTTTCTCCGTGTATGTTTTTCACTCTTTCGGATAATATATTCGTGAGGCGGGTTTCGTGAAAACATTTTTTTTCAAGATCTGAAAGAAAAAAAACACTACACTAAAGCAAAGAGATAAAATCGCCGCGATCTTGCAGCCACAGTTTTCCAACTTTGCATTCCAACTTTGTATTTGCTTTCTGTGACGAGATAATAGAGATTCGTGTTTTCAAAAATTTCTAGCGTGATTTTATCGTGAGTGAACTGGATTAACGTGTTTGCAGCAAAAATAATACCGCATGAAATATTCTATATCTATATTTTCTTAAAGGGTAGAGACAGGGTAGAGAACGCGCAGAAGCCGTTTAGCTAACCCAGCGGAGTATAAGTTGGTCAAATAAAATACTGTATCCGCAGTAATGATGAAATCGCCTTCTCATACCTCTTTGTTTGATTTTCCGTCTGTATAAATTCCAGCCATGAGTTTTTCGCAATATTTCCCGGGGAGGAAACGTAGATCACTCACTATCGACGTTTGGTCACGTTCGATTATTTGCTCGCTTATACAAGTACAATTTCCCGATAATTGAAACAAACTATATTTCATCATCATATTTGTATGTGTATGACATTATTTATCCTTATTTTTAGCAACTGTACTATTTTATTTTTGCTCTATGTACTTTCGGCACATCGTGCATCTCGATCAACTTGCTTTGCGATTACTCTTATATGCATTTTAATATTCTGGAAATTGCAATTTTCGCGCCGTGCAAACCGTGTTTTATACGAAAAGATAAAGTACGAGGGGTTTCATGTCGCTCTAGCTGTAAATTGAATAATACTAGTAGAATACTCGACCTCGTTACATGAACATTTCCATCGATATTCAGCGAGGGTACTTTGATCGCGTTTCTGCGTGAATTGCTTGCGGTTACCGCTAAATTCGTGCTGATATTTCATTAGTGCTTAATGATATCGGCGCGTAATCGATATTGCGCATCGACATCATTCGTTTATTTCATTCATCCTGGGCCCGCATGACTGATCCTCTACTATGAAATGACTTTTTGCATAATTTTCCCACCATAAGGATTTTGCATAATTTTCCTATCATCAGTACAATTTCGCGGACACGCGGACTCGTGATATTTTATATTTTACCGTGTAATTATCGGGTTACGCGAGCGATACACAAGAAAAGCTCGGGGTTATTAAAACGGAAATTTAAACACACCTTTTTAATTAAAGACTGAAATAAGCACTCACCCCAGCGATCAACTGTTATTAACATTTTTCACTGGTTATTACAGCTGAAATTTAATTATTCCCGCGACCTCGGGGGTCGAAAAGGCTGTTAGACGATTTTACATTTCGTGAGTTCCTCAGGCACAGGGAGATCGTTATACGGGTTTTACTTATGAAGAGCAGAGTATTATTATCGCCCTTAGAGAGTCATAA